TGGGGACCCCTTCTCCCTGGGCCTTGGGGACCCCTGCAAATAGAGCAGGACAGCTTCAAATGGGGGCCTCACTGGGCCTTGTGGCCAGGACTCAGAGAAGGACCGTGATGTCGACATTGGGGTGTGGCCTTGGGCCGCCTGACCTCTCTGGACTGAGTGAGAGTGGAATTCCCGATGCACAGCAAGGGACGGGCACCCATGGGGCACCGATGGGCCTTGTCCTGCTTCCTGGGTCCGTCCACTCCCTCACGTTAAAACTGACACCTCCTCACAGCTCGGGTCAGAGCAGATACCCAGGTACGCGCAGTGCAGACACCCGACACGGACCCTGAGACCCCTACGCAGCCTCATACCTGAGACAGGCGCACAGGGATGGACAGAGACCACAGAAACACGGGATACAGAGGACATGAGTGGACACATACACGTGGGGCTCACACACACATGGGCTCACATGTGCAAGCTCACATACACATGTGCACAGAGGGCTCACACACATGCACAAGCTCACAAACACACACACACGGGCTCGCATACACGCTGCGGCACAGCTCTGGGAGCTGGTTTCCCAAACCCAGGCCCGTCCAGCCCTGGCACCTAAGCTGGTGGCCACCTGGGTGGCCTTGGGGAGCCCCAGTCTCCAGGCTCCCAGCCAGCAGAAAGATGCAGAGGCCGTCCGGCTGCCCGGGGTGCTCTGGGTGTCAGGGCATGGGTGGCCCCTGGGTCCTTTGGGGCCAGGGTTCCGGGTTCCTGGTTCCACCCACCTCTGGGTGGGGGCCAAAGAGCTGCTGTCCTCTGGCGAGTGAGAGGGTGGGGGTGACCCAGGGGACGTGGAGCTGGTGGCAGGCTCCTCCCCAGGCTGCTGGGCTCACAGCAGGGGGCGGGCTCCAGGGACAGTGAGGCCCCACCTCTCCGGTCTTGTCCGTGGAAAGGGCCCGGGTCACAGTGAGGCGGGGCCCAGGCAGGCCCCACGCAGGCACTCCCTGACCTGGTTTCCTGGAGTGAGAGGACGTGCTGGAGACGCCGTGCTCCCCGAGGGAATTTAAGCTCTGGGCCAAGGAAGGGCCTGGGCTCCCCGGGTCCCACCCCTCCCTGATTCAGAGTCGTGGCCGCCTGCCAGAAATACCCCCAGCGTCTGCCCCTCCCTGGGCTGGGTTATGCTGGGACGTCCAGGTGGAGATGGCGGAGGCTGTCTGGAGCCCAAGGGTGAGCTGTGGGCAGATACGTGGACTTGGGAGTCACCCACCCCAGGGCTGTGGAGACCCTCCGTGGGGTCTCACACACTTTGGATCCTGCTGGGGACACAGGATCCTCGCCCAGAGGAAGGTGGGCCCCCAAGCAGAGGGGGGGAGACTCCGCAGGAGCCACTGGCCTGAGCCCCTCTCGCCCTGCCCCGGGGCCCCCCAGTGACCGTCCTGTCTCTCATAATCATCCAGGACGCCCCACACACAGTTTGCGGTGGGCCCCCTGGGCTGGGCCCACCTGACCCTGGACTAGTGTAAAGGACACCACACCCCTTTGGTCAAGACAACCAGGGGGGCCACACCCCATCCAGAACCTTCCCAGGTGGGCAACTAACTGTGATCCTCTGTCCACCCACACTGGCTGCCACTGAGGGCCAGCAGGGCCCCCAGGTGACTCTGGAGCCCGCTTCCTGTCCCGGTCCCCAGAGCAAAGAGGGGGAACCTCTCACCGACCAGGCTGGGCCCATCTTCTCACCGCAGCCCACATAGGTCAAGGCTCCCGCGGCCTTGCCCCCAGACCGGCCTGGGCCACAAACCTCCTGGGTCCGAGGGCATGGGAAGTGGCTTCCACTCTTTGCAAAGAGCATTTTAAGCCCGGCCAGCGTGGCTCAGTGATTGTCAATCTATGAACCCGGAGGTCACAGTTCAACTCCCGGTCATGGCACGTGCACGGGTTGTGGGCTTGATCCCCAGTGTGGGGTGTGCAGGAGGCAGCCAATCAATGATTCTCTCTCATCATTGATGTTTCCATCCCTCTCTCCCTCTCCCTTCCTCTCTCTGAAATGAATACTGTGTATATATATATATATATATATATAGAGAGAGAGAGAGAGAGAGAGAGAGAGAGAGAGAGAGGGGGGGGGGAGCATTTTAAGCGTTAAAGCTGCTCAGCTCTGTGGACCACGGGGCACTCCGGCCTCCCAGGCAGCAGGAGGCAGCCTGCAGCCTCCTGGACTCTGCACGTTTCTCCTCCATGGGCTCTTCCTGCCAAAGTGGCCCCTTCCCGACAGCCCCACCGCCAGACCCAGGCCCATTGCCAGGAGCAGTGAAAGCGAAGAGACGAGGGAATCACGGCACCTGCATCTGCATGACAGTGCTCCTTCCACCTCCTCCAGCTGCCTCACCCTCCGGGCCTCGGTGGCCCTATCTGTGAAGTGGGGACAGCGATGACAACCTCCCCATCCTCACCCCAGCGGTCAGTGGATACCTCATACCACCTGCGCCTGGACCAGGTGGGGTTTGCACCCTCTCGCCATGACCCAGCCTCCAGGAGACTGAGCTTGCATAGCCTCGGGCCCTCCCTGGGCCCTCCTGCGGGTGGGCAGTACCGCCCATTTGGCCTGCAGTGGACGCACAAACCGAGCTCTGCGGCGCCACCGTGTGGCTGTATTGGGAACTGCATGGCCTGGCCACCCTGGGAATCCTTCCTTGAAGGCGACAGGGATACAGCTGCCACCGCAGGGTCTGAGCATTGATGCTGACAAGCTCTGTGCTAAGCACGACCCACACAGAATGCTCTTAATTCTCCCGCCAACCCTAGGATGTGGGTCCTATTATTTGGCCTCCCTTACAGATGGGGAAACTGAGGCCCCAGCCCCATAACCAGAGACAGATGGGGTAGGATTGGGCCCCAGGAGGCCCAGCTGCAGGGCCTTGGTCTTTATCCCACCCATCTTGCCTGGCCCCAGAGTTTGGCACCTGCCCTCTGCACATTGGGGTCTCTGGGGCGGGGGTGGAGGGGGGATGCTGCTTAAAAGAGAAGTTTCCAGGCCCCACTGCACAGACTAATCCAGCTGGTCCAGGTGACTGTCTATGCAGCCAGGTCTGAGAACCACCTTCTGCTCACAGAAAGCCAGTTTTTTGTAAGAGGGAGTGACTCAGGAGGGTGGGGGGGGGGGCCTTGCCCCCACAAAAAAAAAAAAGCCCCTGGGGGGGGGGGGGGGGGGGCGGGGGGAGAGGGTGGGCGTCGAACACACCTCACCTCCAGCCCTGGGTTTCCAACACTCAGAGGCAAGCCGTGACCCGGCTTGTCGAGCTGGTGGGAGGCCACGGGATGCAAAGGGCCAAGGGTCTGAGTCCTCTATGGCCTGACTGTGTGCTGTGGCCTTGACTTTCTCATCTGTGAAATGGGCCAGACTCTAAAGGATTTGGAGAAACAGCGATGCAAAGGTTCAGGCTTAGCAATAGACAGATATCTTCTAAGTCAGGGGGTGGTAAAGGCAATTTGACCCCTGCAGACCTCTCCAGACACCTCCAGGTCGTGTGCCCGGAAGGCTGAGGCTGTGGCCTGTGGAGGCTTTAGGTGGACAGTGCTGTCCTGTGGGGGCCAGGCCCAGCCATGGCAGGAGGCAGAGGGCATGGAGTGGGGAGGCTGGTGCTGGGGGCCTGGTGTGGGGTGGCTGGGGGCCTGTATGTGGAGGGAGTGTGATGGGGGGCATGGAGTTTGTGGGAGGGGCTGCTGGGGGAACCATAGGGGCTGGTGAACGTTAGAGAGTGCCTGCAGCGGGCAGGGGTGGGGGTCACAGCAGGACAGGCTCCGGGAGCAGTGACGGGCTGAGGGCTCAGGAATGAGACAAGAGGAGGCAGCGTTCGGGTGGCCCTGAGAAGGGGCTGCTTCCAGGCAGGGCGGAGGCAAGCAAGGGCAGGGTTTGGCCATGCAGCTGGAGGCGGAGCCCAGGATACCAGTCTCAGAGCCACAGAAGGTTCTGGATTCACAGGCAGGGAACTGGAAACAGAGAGGGTGGGGAGTAGCTTGATAAGGGCCAGCCGAGTGCCTGCTGGCCCTCCAGAGGCCAGACCCCGTGCCCAGAGGCTCAGGTGAAACCACGCCAGCCCGGGTGGGGTCCCAGCTCCACCCAGTACAGGGCACCGTGCTGCACTGGGCAGGTCGATGCCTCCCTGAGCCTGTGTCCGCGTCTGCGACATGGGAGATCCTCGGAGCTGCTGCTAAGACTCAGCACGGACGGAGGAGCCAGGGGACGGCAAGGCCGCCCAAATCTACTCCCTGCCTCGTGTGGGGGCACCTCTGGGCAGGTGCACCGAGGCAGTGGGCGAGAGCATTTGGTTGTGTTTGCACAATG